TTACATTACCAGATCAGAGCGAGCTTTATGCACTTATAGGGAGCTTAGGATGGACCGTGTTATTTTCCATTACATAGAAACTTTATATTGATGAACATTGAAATTTTTAAGATGGATTAATTGATTTTCCTGCCCAAGAAAAAATTCCAGCCTTTTTGGGTCCTACGTCTATTAGTTTTCCTGGGTTCCATGATGCAGGTTTTCCAGGGATCCAGACAAACCTTGGAGGGTGCTGAGTTGTGCAAAATAATTTCCTCTAATTATTTCTTTGTTATTATTCAAGCTGAAGCCTCATATATATATATATATATATATATATATATAGATGGTATTATTTTTATTTTTTATTTAACTAAGCTGTGAGTATACTAAGTTGAAACAATGAGTCAGTTCTGTGCATCATTCATATATATATATATATATATATATCTATAATATTGATTTAGAATTATGCCTTATGCTTGGGTGTTGAATTTGGAAAAACAAACATAAAAATGTCCGCAAATTTACACTTGTCTTTTCAATTTTTTTTTTTGGGTACAATGTCTTTTCAAAATTAGGTTCTAGTAGGATCGAAACTTTTTCTTGTCGGCGTGATCCTCGAGCAATGTTTCCCATCAGGCCCAAACACAACAAGAAAGAGCCCTGTGTGAGGAAAGAATACATATCTGGGCCTGAAATAATTGAACTTTTGTTGTACAAAAATTTATTAAATTATTAAAGTCCAGTGGTTGTTATAAGGCCTACAATGCATCTGTCAGCCCAAGAGCTTCTATTAAAATTAAATGGATTGGCCTGTTACACCTCAGGCATTTCTTGGGTCATAAGCCCATTTAGATCAAGAATGGGCCTCAAATTCTACTAAACATCGATAGAAAGATAGGTGGCCCACTCCAAGAGTAGGATTATGCTTGCATTTCATTTTCTTTATTATTTTCTGTTATTAATTCCATGAATAGTTTTTGGAAAGAATTATTTTTCAATATATAATCCAGAAGACTTGAGAGTGAGGGTTCATTATCAATAAAAATTCAAGAATAGGTGGTGAAGTGCTGATGGGCTCGAGAATGGGCTTCAGGATAATTAGCTAATTAAGATCTGGCCCATATAAGAACTGCTGTTTATATTTGTGTTTATTATTTTATTTTATAATATGCATTATATTGAGGTAAAAAAATTTATATTATTTATTTGGGTTTTTCTGTATGATGAAATAATTTATTTAGCAATTATTTAATTTTATATTATTTTTTACGCTGCATATTTACTTTATATGGTCTTTAATGAAAGCATTCATTTCTTTTAATTTTTTTCTTTATATTATGATTATTAACGCATGCTATTATTAGATATATTTAATTTTCAAATTTGTTTCTTACTTCTAAAACTCAATTTAGGACAGGTGAATTTTAAATTATTTAAGAGAAAATTGCTATTTACTAGCCAATTGTTCAAATTTATCAAATAAAATCACATATAGTATAATTATAAGACATATAATTCATTTGGTTGTACACTTTTACATATACAAATACATATAGATGCTCAGACTTTAAAGTTAAAGTTTTATGTAATTTTAACATTTATACCTTCACGTAAACTTGAAATGTCAATATTTGCGCAATTAATATAATTCTAATGAAAAGGAAATTTTACTGCTGCCACAAGCCAAAAGTCAAAAGCAAAAGATGGATGGAGGCGCCGGTAAGGAGCATTAAATAAATGGCCTTGGGTAGGATGGAAAAAATAGAGGAAAACTACAATATTTTTATTAATAAAATATAATAATTGACAACACACAATAATATAATACTTCCCAGTAATGTTAAGAAACATGGATAATAATTATAAAATTTAAGGGAAAATCCAATTTTATGATCTAAAAAAATTCAAAATTTGGATTGAATAGAAATGAGGAATGACTGAATGAGGTTCATTATATTGCTAATGAATAGCATGACATATTATGTTTATATGTGACATATATATATGTATATAATGAAAAATAATTAATTTTTTTTTCCTATATCTATGTATGCACACATTTTTTTTGAAATTTGTTGACATTGTAAAAGAAACCATATCGATAAGAATGATTTATGCTTCACGCCAAAGTTAATTAACTAACTTGATAAACTAAAGTTACAGTTAATTACTCACACAAATAATTCTATAACAATTCCAACAAAGTTGTCACTCATCCTATTTTGCAGTTACAAACTCATAATATGATCTTAACTAAAATGGCGCCGCAGTAATATATATATATATATATATATATATTTCCATTCAGAGATAACACTAACTGGTTTAAAATTTTTTAGTTAACATCGAAAAGAGATTTAGGAATTTCAAGAAAATTAATAATAACTAAAAAAAATTAAGTAAGAAAATATATTGATGCGATCTTAATTAAAAAACACAATTTGGAATACTGAAGTAATAATTATGATACTTGTTGACTAGGCTGAGAAAATTCAGAATAGAATGAATTGGCAGGGACAAAGATTCAGGCTAGCTAATTGAACGTAGTACACTTGCACTTCACTCACTGCTTGAGATTCGTTTGGTGTAACCTCTTTTGGTTCTTTCACCTGCTCATTATCCACTTCCATGCTCCACACTGGATACCACATCGCTCCCATTTAATTTTACCTTAACTACCAGCAAATATAGCTACATTCTGTCTTATAGCCTAATAATAATATGAAATTTTTTTATAAGTAAGAAGTTATGAGTTCGATTCTACTTACTGAATAGCCAATGACTTTGTATCTTAGTGAGATGAATGCTCTTCTAAAAGTGGAAAGAATTCCCGTACTTTTAATTTATTTTTTTTAAAATGTGAACAGGAAAAATTCTTCTTACAGGTTTTTATTAATGCATCTTTAAATTTAACACTTGAATTCAAGGTCATTGGTTAGGATAACATGGCTGTGGATCAGATGAGTTAATTAGTTAAGAGATGGTTAATTGATGTTTAATATTTTTATTGTTACGGGCTTACTTAGATCCTAGCTACTGCATATACTACTCTAGTTCTTATTATTTGTTCCTTTTAAGAGTTTTTTTTGCATACAAAAGAGAGAGTATTAAAGAGCTAAAATCTTCCATTTTTGCCCTTATTAAGGAGATCATTAAATACTATTAGTATGTTTTCTCTCACTCGTTCATTCTATCTTCACTTTTATTATAATTATTAATAGGGATAGAATTGGAAATGAAGCATTAACAAGGGTACAAGTGACAAATAAAAAAGAACCAAAATCTCTTCCTACAAGTGAGAAATAATAGACCAAAGTGGTGCACTAGTAGAACATTGGTGGGAGCACACCTGCTAAAACAGATGCAGAGTAATTATAATTTAGGCAACCCCACCATCCACTAGTACCAAAGTGAGGAAACTTAGTTGATGGTTTAATTTACGGCATGAAATTAATAGAACGGAGTAAAATAGTTTAGTTTGTAATAGAAAATTATTGCTTGTCAATAGTTTTTAAAATAATAACAAAAAAGAAGTGATTTTTTTAAAAGACACAATAAGTACTACCTCCATTAAATATAAGCAATAATGGAAAACGCCATGCAAATATATCAAATTTTTGTCTGAAAAATTGTCTTTTCCGGATTTTTTGCCCTCAATAATTGGAGTACTACTAGTTGGGTAATAATCATTCTAGCGGAGATAAGTACTCCAACTCCTATATTTATAAGGGATATTTTTAGAAATAACGCGTTAAATATTCACAAAAGCCTGTGATATTATATACCCGTCTGCTTCTAAAAATAAATTGTACTACAAAATAAGTCTTATATTTAGGATCAGAGTAGTACTATTGTTTATATTAGTTAACAAAAGTATTGATATTATGACTCAAATTTTTATAATCTATTATGATTATTTATATTTATTACATCATGACCTAAAATCTATTATATCTCCGTCATATTTATAATTAAAAGTTTAGGAGATATTATTTGTAAGCCAAATAAATATTTTCAATTGGTTTTTTAGAAGCTCTATATATATGTATAGTCTCTCCATTATTCTCACATAGACGAGCGCCATGAGACAATTATTGTAAGATCCTCTTTTTTTTTTTTGGCCAAATATAGCAGAATTTCTTGCTTGTTGCCTGTGGCTTTTTTGGTTTCTGGTGTTTTTTCATGTTAAATTTTGCGGGTCATATTCTATTATGATCTCTTATTTTACGATTCTTTAGTTTACAATTGTTGAATATTTTAATATGATGATACTGCTTCTCTTTGACACGCTTCCCAACACAAGGTTGATCCTATTTCACTGCTGTATATGTGGGACGTCTTATCCTAATTATAAGATCTAGTTTATTAAAAATTGCACTATAAACTAAATTTTATATTTATAACCAGAGGGAGCAGTACATATACTAACAACGAAGGGAGTAGTGTGCTATATATATATATAATGTATCTTCCCTTCCCTTTATCAGTCCCACTCTTCTATTGAAAGTAATTTCATTGGGGGCATTATGGTTAGACATTAATGTAAACAACTTTTTTCTAGTGAGATGAAGATTCCAATCTCGATTCGTCGTATTAAGAAATATTGCTGCCACTAGATTCAATTCCTGTAGGTCAAATTGATTCCCCTCTTGTCCCTTCTTTTACAAGACAACAAGACCATGAACAATTTGATTACATGAAATCGGAAATGAGACAACCCGTATCCTCTTTATTTGTAAAAGCAACTATATATAATGTACCTGGATATAGCAATATTAAAAGTACATGCTAAGTGAAGTTAATTGTGAGATGTGTGCGTGTCACACACAAATACTTTTTTTTTTTTTTGTGTGGTTGGTATCACATTCTCTCCAGATATACGAGACGTATAAGCTTTAACACATAAGTGCATATATACACACACACACTGCAAAATCATATATACAAGGCTCTCTGGCCAAAAAAAAAGAAGAAGTCATATATACATACAAGGTGTCTTCGAAAGTGATGAGAAATAAAGGAATGAGAATATATATATATATATATATATATATAAAAGAAGATAGAATTTGACAAAAGATAAGCGTTCAGAATTCAAACTTCTCATACACATAAATCTCATTAATGGTCTCTTCTCTATCTCTCTCCATCTTCATCTCCACAAAGCACACCCCCCTAGCCATACGATCATCATCTTGGTGTACATAATGAAGAACAATAACCATTATATGTATTTGTTTGTGTACAAAGCTAGCTTGGGCAGGTGGCTATAAGGTGTATATAGATATAGCTACCACAAAAAACTGGTAAGCTGAGAAGAAGAGGTCTGAGATTCTTCGAGATCGTTGGAAGGAGAATGAGCATGCCTCCCTTCGTACGTTGTTATCACCATCCTTGGATCCTCTGCTAGCCTCTCCACCCTCTTCTTCACCCTACAGTTATCCTGTGTGCACCGATAATAGCTCCTGCCACACATGTTCTCAACAACATCGATCAATATTCCTTAATTACCCAACACACAAACACACACGCATCCCAGTCCTTTGCTACAGAATCTATATGTACACAGAAAACTTGGCAAACATATTCTAAGTCATGTTTTTTATTATCTAGCTGCCGGTGGTGCATTGGTCTCTGAGATAATCTTCAACGTTTAATTATTTTCAAGCACATCATGAGATTGAATAGGGGAAAAAATGGAAAGACTGAATAATATGGCATGTTCGTAATCATTTTCAAGGGCACGAAGTTCTATAAAGTGCATTTTTTCTGGTGTAAATCTGTCTGCTCTCGGGTGGGAATTACTAGATTTTATGGCCTTCTAGTTGCTTCTTGCTATTCATTCTTCATCAAATTGCTTATACTGTAACAGGTATAAGTGGGGCTAGTAATTAATTAATTAGGTTAGACCACATTGTCTTAGGCTCGGTTTGGATTAGCGTTTAAAATCATTTATAAACACGTTTTACGTAAGTCGAGATAAAGCTCTTCTTACATATTTATCTTGTATTTTATAAATCGTAATTTAAAAGTTATTTATAAATTATTTCAAATGTACTCTTATTATATTGTCAGGCTTTTATCCCTTCAGGCCGGTCTAAAACCAACAAAAAGCCTTTCAACTTTTTGTAATTTTGTGTCTGAAACCCTTTATGTCATTTTATTATATGGGATTCTAGCTAGCTAGCTGCTTTGACATGATCTATATCAAGTACTTGTTCGGTGAGGGTAATCGTCGTCCCCATATTCCTCAATAAATTAAAATTTTGCAGAAGCACTGGAAAAAGCAAAACACAATCATGATGAATGAACCTAATGAAAGATATATGGGATGGGAGGGAGAAAAACATGCAGAATTTGAAAGCATTGGGATACAACCGAGAGCTATATATATAATCAAGTACATATACACAAACACATGCCTTTAACCATTATATTCTTGTTGATGCGCAATATATACCTATAATTAATCAGACAAAAAGTAAGAGGATAATTTCAAGTGCAATTAAGGAGAAATGGAAATGACTATATATATATACACACACACCTGGGATGATGAGTATTCTTGACGACTTTTTGGCCGTACTTCCTCCACTTATAACCATCGTCTAACACGTCCACATCGCTCAGTGTCTTGAAGCAAAACCTGGGTTCTCTCACCTTCCTTCTTCCCTTCATTGATCTCTTCATCTTCATGGCAGAAACCCCAAGTTGATGATGATGATGATGAACTTCTCCTTCGCTTCTCTTAAAGTCACTCTCTTCTCCCCATGCCCTATACATCACATGCACTCACAAATCAATCCTCTCTTTAGCTATATATATGTAGATTTAACAAGACTTGATTATAGATTATTTCAAGGTTTTACGGACAAATTACTGAAAAAGAAAAGATATCTAGGGTTATAGGTACAACACATGATTCTGTTTAAGAGAGAGAAAGAGAGAGACAAGAGATCTTACCATGGATTAATTAGACCGGATCTATGGAGGGAAAGGAGTTGAGTGATGTCTTCTCTGATTGGCTTATGAGGTGAGAAGGAGATATGGGTTTCAGGTGTGAGATTTGGAGTTGGAGTAGTATTATTATTAGTAGAAGAAACTGCTTCAGATAGTGCGAGTGATGAAGAAGAAGAAGCAGATATGTCACTGAAGGATTTCAAAGCTGGTAATTGATTATTATGGCAATAATAAGGAGCCATAGAAGGAAAATTGATCAAACCCAGATTTACAGGGAAAGTAGAAAGCATCCCCATCTGATCCTGCTGCTGCTGCTCCTCCTGATAAAACAAGCTCTGCTGGTTCATAATAGCCTGATGAGACGACGCCGTTGACATTGAATCGATCCCGTCTCTGATCTCACAACCTGATCTCTAATTTCACCAGCTTCAAGAAGACGATGATCTTCTAGGGCAAGCGTAGGCTCAAACGCTGAATTATATATATATATATCTTGCTTCAAAACTTGGACGACCAACTGATCGATATATAACGTCGTGAAACCACTTTACCTTTTCTTTTGCTTCGTCTTTTTAAGAGAATGGAGCTCTCAATTCGCTTGTCTTGTTATATATAATAAGCATGTGAAGGGGTGGGTGAGGGGTGGGAAGCGAGACGAGTGGTCGAACTCATTCTAGTTAATTACTTCAAAAAAGTAGTCTCATATGTATGTACAATTTTATCTTGCGTTAATATAATTTTTGTTCCCTCAAATTTGTCAAAGTCTCTCAAGTTTCAAACAATAGGTTTTGGTTTTTTAAGGGGCAAAATAGTCCAAGTTTTTTTATTAGATTATAAAAACTAATATTTTAAAAGAAAAGAAACTTGAAGGACCAAAATTTATAGTTTAAAATTTAAGGGATTAAAACTAAAATAAGAATAAAATTAAAAGACCAAAGTTTGTATTAACCCTTTTATCTTTTATATATCTCTTTTTTGTGTGTTTATTTCTCACTATATATATATATTGTTTATTTAATGAGAGAATTTTTTTTTCTCCCCTTCTTATGACTTTTGAAGTTTTCAACCAGAGCTGGCGGTTTGGACATATGGGGAGTGACTGCAAAAAGCTTGAAAATTCCATGTCCTTCATAGTTAGTGGAATTTTACTGTAGCGTATAGGTCAACAATACACGACAAATAGAGAGAGAGAGAGAGAGAGAGAGATTGGTATTACGGATTTGCCCTTAAAGTTATATGAAATTTCCATGCAGCAATAGGGTCGTGGTTACTCTACAAATGATTGTTGAAAGGGGCAAAAGCGAAACCTGTTGAGTGCTCAATAATAGAAACGGATACACACACATACATTGATATTGCAAAGTAGTGTATCAAATATAATTAGTGAGAGCCATGATTCAATTCACTCACCTTGTTCACCACAAGATCTTCTTTAAAAAGCACGAGAGAGAGAGAGAGAGAGAGAGAGAGAGAGCGGGGGGTGAGATCAATATGCACACACACACACACACACAAATTTGTACATATATTGATCACTTTCTAGGGTTTCTTTTTCTCTTTTGAGTCGTTTAATATAAAGAGCTGATCTCTCTCGCTGGACACCATGATATGAAAAAGATTTAGTTAGGACTTTAATTTGAAGAGCCCGAATTTTAAGAAATTAATGGAGATTTTGAGTTCTTTAATTTTATATCATTTTCCTTCAACAAAAAAAAAATCCAAGGATCGAACTCTCCTCAGCTTGAAAAAACAAATATCTCCATGATTACATTGTCATAAGTTATATATATATATATATATATATATAAATGAAGAATAAAATCTATCAATATCACTATCAGCATCTTCTCATTATAATATGTCATTGATGGTTATAATTTGTAACACGTTTTCTTGTTTCCATTTGGTTCCTTAACGCGGTCATCAGAGTTTTAATATTTATATATATTAATAATTATAAACTACAATGAGAATATATAATGTGTGTACTGTTTTAACTCTTTAACCCTAGTCTAACAGGGGATCTCTTCCCTATTTATTTTTAATATTTTTTAAATACTACTACTCATGAAGATATTATAGTGCAGCAAACACATTAGTCGCTTCATATAAAATGTCTATAGTTATTAGAGCTGACTAATTTGAATTAAACCGCATTAAAATACATGGGATCCAAAGCTCTCCCCATAATAATAGGTTAATAACCTTTTTTCCATGGACAACTCAGTTCTTAAAGACATGAACTTAAAAGATGATTGTATTTATTACACACTTGATTGAGAATAGTTGTCTCATATCCTAGTAAATCAATATTAATAGTGGAGATTTTTAATTTTCTTTTTTTTTTGGAGTGAAAAGTTTAGGTGAGTTGGGTTCCAAGACTTATCAGAGCAAAGACATGTCTTTAGATTTAAAAATGCTTACAGAAATACTCACAGATGGCTTATCAATAAGTTTTCATGTCGGCAGCAAGATTCGAATTCACAACTTTGTGAGTTATAGACTGACTCATTTACCAACTTAACCAATTCTTGTTGGTTTATTTTTTATTTTTTTTGAAAATATGAGTGATCATGAAAGAATCTTGGGGGCATATCCATCACACAATATCTGTGCATCGGCGGTGAAGATATGATTATGATGATGTGAAAGAGGCCCAATTGACTTTGTTGCATCACAAAAGCTAATCGCCTTTTCTCAAACTCTCTTTTTCTCTTTTTAACTTTCTTTTAAATCTCTGCATCGATCTAACCCCACTTTCACCCACCTTTTCTCTCAAATTCCAAAACGACCTTGTAATATATTTATTTATATGTATATATCCTTATATATCATCGGTTACTGTTAACTTAATTCTGATGACAATCATGTCTTATAACTTTATCTCATTTGTTATGAGTCCAAATTAAATATTTTGTGGACCAACCTTGCCCCATTCAAACCCCTTTGTTTCTATCTCTGAGATTTACCATAATTCTCAATAATTACAATGTGTTGCTTTGTACTTTGATTTATCATCGCCCTTCTTTGTTTGTTAAACTGAGGATCAGAGACCACATAAAATGATGAACTTGGTTCATTTGCAGAAATTAATGAATGAAATCAAAAGTTGCTACTCAGTAAGAGTTACTGTAATGAAATTGTAAGTTAATGTTTTGATTTATTCATGAAATCCGTGAAAAACTATAATATCCTCACTCAAACGTCAGTGTGATATAATATTGCAAAGAGTGTAATATTATATTTGAACTGCAATACTGAAAAATATCAAAATTTGTATTTATATCTGAACTGCAATTTCTCCCTTTTTTAAAAAAATAAATTATCAAATAAAATCTTACTGCCGGGTGGTATTAATTCATTTCAGGTCAAAAAGTAGTATAATTTTTTGCCAACCAAAAAGGAGAATAATTACTTCAAGAAATATTAAATTTATATATAGATATATATACACACACACATCCTTGAGTTCTTTTTTTTTTTTTTAATTGCCAACATACATATGATTGAGTGCAATTATGTTTTCCTCTCCCAGCCTATTGATAAGAAGTTGCATAGTTAATAGCATTAGTTATAATTATATCAAACGACAAGGTCATAACAAGTGATTAAGATGTAATTAAGGCTTTAATTTTCCTTTTGTTTCTATTGACCAGCAAACACAACACAGTGAAGTGCATATTACTAAATACACAAGTTTTTCACACACACACACACCCCGAATATATATTGATAATGATAATATCAAAAGTACATTTTAGTGAGATATCAATTAAAAGAGCCATATGTGTGTGTATATATATATAAATGTATGATGACCGCAAATTTATTTATGAAGCATAGTGCTATTAAAGAATTATTTGAAAAGCTTGCCCTACCTCCGATGTAGTGTACATATATAGCTAGGAATCCAAGGTTTATATATATAGACATATATTTATTTACCAAAACTATTTTAAAAATTGCTAGAATTTCTGCAAAGAATATACAGGGAGACATCGCATGAAAGAAATCATGGCTTATGAGGCATATATAGTTGAGGGAAAGGAAAAGGAAAATTATAATGATTTAATTACTTTTATATGTTTGGATTGGGATTCTGAAAAAGATAAGTTACTAATTCAAGGACCAAATGTAATAATTATATATGAATTTATTATTATGTTTTTTAACAAGAAATAATTATCAGATTTTCTAATAATATCTATATTTTTTTAAAAAATATGATTATATTTTTAAAATGCTTAATATACATTCATGAATATGATTTTCAGAGATTAAAAAAAAGGATTCGGTTGGAAGTTAGGCTATCATCAGGGAAAAAAACGAAATTTTGTTTAAGAATATTTCTCTAATTGCGAAGAAAATTAAGCAGGTCGTCTCAAACAATTATAATGGTGAAATTTCATGAGAAATGGAATTTGCTGGCGTTAGGCAAACGTGATGATGATGTCATATGAGTACGTATAATGTAATGAAGGGAAATAACGTGGCACCAATATGTACAGCAAAAACCCTTGGTTTTACTAATTATTTAAATTCCAAATAATTAAATCCATACTTTATATTTTATAAATTTATTATTCTTTTCTTTATAATAATTTTTTTATGGCTGAAGTAAAAGTGAGAAAGGCAATGTGCGGTGGCAAGCGACATCATTTCATTTTGTCTCTGCTTATGCCCTCTCATTATTCCCCTTCAGATTATTTCCTGTTTATCACTCTCACTTTTTTCTTTTTGCTTTTTGTTTAAAAATTTATTTATTTTATTTATTATGAATTTGCCAAAGTTGCTTTCTCTTTTGAGCCCAAATTATACTAATCATGAGATTACTAGTAATACACCAACCAATCATTTTAATCGTTCCTACATTATTGTATTTGAAATACATAAACCCATCATTATTCCACTTTCAACTTCTTAATCAAAGAACCAATATTATATATACTGAGTAATCATGATTTTCACAGACAGAAAAAAATACTATCTTCAGTTCTTGATATAAGACCTCGTTTGACTTTTATTTTTTTTTTCTAAATATAAGACTCTAATCCACTTTGTTTCTCATATTTATTCATTTTTTTCAAGATAGTCCTTCTAATAATGATAGTTCTAACCAATAAACTTGATTAACAAGTATATTTTAGAAAAGATAATACCTATTTATTACAAATAACTAACTTAATTTGTTTTCTTAATCTACTCAAATTAGTCAATTAGCTTTATATTTAGGACCGGAGATAGGACAATGTTGTGTACAAATTATGCAAATGTGTGTGGGTGTGTGTGTTTCATTTATATCAGCAAAAGAGACAATAATTTGTCAGGCAAAAAAAAAAACAGAGAGAGGGACAATAATTTCGCACAATTTTATTCTCTTTAATTATATTACTTTTCCGTTGGCAGAAAAAAAATAATTATATTACTTTTCCTTAATTAGCTGTCGAAACAAAGCTTAAAGCCACAGTTGAGACATTTTCTCTCGTACCTAATTGACTTTAATTAACTTTTGTCTTACGAGAAAATTGCTTTTACTGTTGGGAGC